CCAGTAGCCTGTCTGCTGACAGTGGCCAACACTAGGTACCCTGGAGGGATGGACCGAAGACAATGACCGAGCCATTTGTCTCGTGCCATCCCTCTCCAGCCTTCCACAAACTTTGGGCAGGGACACCACTCCTACCCCCTGGCTAATACCACTCCATGGACCCAACCTCCATGACTTGATCTAACTTCTCTTTGAACTCTGTTCTAGTTCTAGCCTTCACAGCCTCCTGCAGCAAGGAGTTCCACAGGTTGACTCTTTGCTTTGTGAAGAACAACTTTCTTTTACTAGTTTGAAGCCTGCTACCCATTCCTTTCCTTTGGTGTCCTCTAGTCCTTCTATTATGGGAACTAATGGAGAACTTTTCTTTATGCACCCTCTCCACACCACTCTTGCTTTTATAGACCTCTATCATATCCCCCCTCCGTCTCCTCTTCTCTAAGCTGAAAAGTCCCAGTCTCTTTAGCCTCTCTTCATATGGGACCTGTTCCAAACCCCTGATCATTTTAGTTGCCCTTCCCTCTCCCACCCTCTCTCTTCCCCTCTCCCACCTCTTTTTCCCAGTCTCCCCCAGTTTTGTTCAATAAAGAGAGATTCTATTTTTGAACACATGTTTTCTTTATTTTGTACATCAGGAAGGGGGGCTAGGGAAGGGTAAGTGGAAGGAGGTGAGGGAGGAATGGGGTACGCGCCCCCGATGGGGAGGACTGGGCTGGCTCTGCGGGCTTCTCGGGGTGGAAGTTCTCCAGCAGCCCCCCGATTGCCTCCTCCCCCCAGATGGCAGCCTGTGGCAAGTGCAACCGGGGTGATGGCCGAGTGCTGTGATGTTCCGCGTGTGGGCACTCAGGGCACTCCAAGCCAGGACTACTTTGCAAGCGGGGAACCCTGAGTACTGACTGTCCGGGGTGGGGGTCGGGTCCCTTTAAGCACAGCCCTCGGCTAGCCTGAGACAGCAGCTCCACGCTCCAAGTCCTCATCTGATGCCCTGCCGGCACTGCTTCCGGCCATCCTTAACCTCTGTTCAGGGTCCACTCAATGTGGACATGCTAGTTTGAATTAGCAAAACGCTAATTCGAACTGGTTTTTAAGTCTAGCTGCGCTAATTCGAATTAGCGCTGTAGTGTAGACATACCCTAACAGATGGTAAAGACTGTAATTTGTCTTTGCCTAATAATAAAAATTACGATGAATGATTTTACAAAATTACAGCTCATCAGGGAATTTCTCTGCATGACAACATTATTAAATTGAAAGTACATCTTGGGGAGAGAATTTGTTCATACTTTATTCAACAAGCACATCAGCAAGTAAAACTGAAGAAAATCTACATGTAACCTTCTAACGATAACAGTTGTAGTCAATAATTGTGTAGAGCCCAAGGGATGACAGAGTGATGATTCCTTTCTTCTGACATCTTTACCAATCTTCTAGTTTCCAATAACTCTTCAGAGATAAAATATAGATTCTCCTTTTTTTTTTTAAAAGAAACAAAAGAGACAATGCCACAGGAGGATTCCGCAACTTAGCATTGCATAGCTGGAAGACTAATTTCACTGGATGTCATCATCATCAAAAAGATCTTCAAAATCTATTCAGAAAACAACAAAGAAATTAATATAATGCTTATGCACATTGACCTGAAGTATAAAAATTACTGTAGCAAGTAATGTAGGAAAGAAGGAAGAGAAAAAAACAGATTCAAGATGTGGGATGAGGCCCTTATCCTGCATCAGAGAATTCTGAGAGTTTCGCCACTAACTTCAATGAGAACAAAAACAAACCTTGAAGTTATTTAGAGGGCAACAGTTCAAGCGGGACAGAGCACTCAGCATAACAATGAAGTAGTTAATGTTAAACATGTAACCTGTCTCATTTATATGCATTTTTGCAGGACTGGGGATTTAACTGATAATGTACCACTATTCAAGATGAATTTGACACTCATGATTAACAGCTTTGCAGATTCAGGATTCTGGGTTTCAGATCATAACCATGTCTGCTATACTCATATTTCTTTGTCTAAGAACACACTATACTCTCACCACGATATGCTTCTGATGAACTCCAAAACAACCTTTGTTTTATTAAATAATTTTGGGACTGGTTTTTTTATTATACGTACTGAACTATGGGGTTTGCCAAGGTTTCATGTGCAAATGAGCCTTGTTATTGAAAACTTATTAGACACTTGCTTATGTAAGAACACGGTCACACAATTTGCTAGTACTCACAATTCCTGTTTAGAAACTTGGACAATTAGATCCCCTTGCTACTCCGATGTCTTGACTTAAATGTATTGGTGGAACTTTATGGAGATGGTTGCATGACAATTGTGCCTGTCTCCATTGTACAGAGTGACACAGCTGTAAGACACATGCACTAAACACTGGGTCATTCTAAGTAAAACCACTTTAATCTATGGGTATGTCTACGCTGTAGAGTTTTTCCGAAACTGGTAAACCTCTTTCTATATGAGGAAGAAGCCTTTTCCAAAAGAGCTCTTTCAGAAAAAGTTGTGTGTGGACGGGGAAGAGGAAGTTCTTTCAAAAGAAGAGGAAAAAGCACAGGTGCCCTGGTGGCAACTCCATCCATAGTAATCACCAGGGCTCGACAAATAATGCAATTTACTCACCCATGGCGAGTAGATTGCAACCCAGAAGAGCCGGATTTGGGCGATATGTGCATGCGCAGATTGCCAGACAGCGTGGCTGGTGAGCGGGGCTCGCTGCGGTTCGGCAAGCCCTGGTAATCACAGCTTACATGCAAGATAGCATCCATTCAGTGTGGACACTATCTTTTGAAAAAGCAAAATCGCTTTTTTGATGCACTTTTGCAGTGTGGATGCTCTCTTTTGGAAGAAGGTTTTTCAGAAGATCTCTTCTGGAAAAGCTTCTTCCGAAAGAAGCCTGCAGTCTAGACATAGTCTATGGGTTGATTAACCAGATGTAAAAACTTAAGCAAAACAAAACTAAACCTACAGTACTTTGAACACAGGCAGAAATGCAGAATAGTCTCAAGACATTTCTGAGATTAAACATCCTCCATAGTTTGTGACAATTATGCTTCAACTGTAGTAAGGTTTAATAATACTCTGGATTTGTAAGGACTTTTCTGGATTAATTACCAAGCATAAAAAATGTGTATTGCCGAAGCGTATATTGTATTTCCTGTCCAAATAGGCTAAAGAAGATTGTTCTTAAATTGTCCATTTAATTGGTCAACTGGTTAAACATATTAGATGGGGGCTGAAGCGTCCCCCCCTCCCTTTCCCTCTGCTACAAGCAGGGGCTGTTCCATCATCCTGGCCAGAGCAGCCCCTGCCTGCTTGGGCTCGCTGCAGGAAGGGGCTGCTCCAGCTTGGCCAGAGAAGCTCCTATCTGTAGCAGGCCCCCTATGGGGCTGGAGCAGCCTTTTGTTCTTGGCAGGCTGGGAGTTGCTTTAGCCCCTACCAGTTAACCTTAACCAATAAGCCTCGCCCATTAAGGATTTAACTGGTTAAACATTCACATCCCTATTATTCAACTGGCTATTCTTGAAACTATTGTACCATGTAAAGAATTGTGGTACTGATAAATGACACATCTCTTGTAAACAATAACTTGGTTCACAATTTCAATATACAGTAAAAGTTGTATTATTCAGCACTTTAGCAACCAGAAAGCTCTAATAACTGGCATTTCTGATATCTCCCAATTAGCAGGGCTCGACAATTAGGGCAATCTACTCGCCCGTGGTGAGTAGATTTTAGCTGGCACGGCGCCACAGCACGATCAGCGCATGTGCAGCGCAGTCTATGTATGCTCAGCGTGCCAAACCATGCAGCTGGAGAGTGGGGCTCACCGCCACTTGTCAAGCCCTGCCAAATGGGGATGTTAAATTTCAATTAATCAGCTAATCAAGTAGTCGATGGAAATTCCATCCACCACTCAATTAGCCGATAAGGAGGAGGTGGGACGCTCACAATCCCAGCCGCGCCTCTGCCTTTTATATATAGTAAGAACCACAGGCAACTCTTACTACGTTTAAAAGGCAGAAGAGCAGCAAGGAACCTGGGACGAGCGGGGACCCCAAGCAATCCCCCCTTGTCACAGTTCCAACTGCTGCACTTCTGCGTTCTGCACTTCTGCAGGTTGGGACCCAGCTCGAGCAAGGACTGCTTCAGTCCCCACTTGCGCCATTTCCCCGCTGTGCCTCTGCCTCCCTTGCCCTCCCTGCGGAGACGGTGCTCGGGGAACCGGCTTTTAAGCCAGCTCCCCCAAGCACCAGCTCCCCTTGCTTGCTGCCTCTCTCTGATGGAGGCAGAAGCGACTAGCTGAGTCACTACTTGACTAGTTGCTTACATCCCTACTCCCAGTACAAAACTTCAATCTAGTAACAGGGACTAGTATACTTCGCAGGAGGTTATGCAATTCCACATTCTGCACTCTACTTTTATGCAAAAGAGGTAAAAGACAAGTAAGCAATCTGATATCAGAGATATATTCAAAAAAGCAATTTCCAAGATGTGTCAAAGGTTCATTACCAGGGCTCACTGAGTCACGGCGAGCCCTGCTCGCCAGCCGCGCTGTCCGGCGATCTGCGCATGTGCAGATCGTTCTGCACATGCATAGATTGCCCAAATCTGGCTCTTTCGGGTTGTAATCTACTGAGTAGATTACATAGCTTGTCGAGCCCTGGTCATTACAGATTTAACCAAATCACTTACACTTTATACTGCATGGCTGTGTCTAGACTGCCCAGTTTTTCCAGAAAATCAGCTGCTTTTCCGGAAAAACTTGCCAGCTGTCTATACTGGCCGCTTGAATTTCTGCAAAAGCACTGACTTCCTACTGTAAGAAATCAGTGCTTTTTGTGGAAATACCAAAAGGGCCAGTGTAGACAGCTGAGATTTGTTTTCCACAAAAAAGCCCCGATCACGAAAAAGGCGATAGGGGCTTTTTTGCGCAATAGCGCGTCTAGATTGGCCACGGACGCTTTTCCGCAAAAGGTGCTTTTGCGGAAAAGCGTCCGTGCCAATCTAGACGTGCTTTTCCAAAAATGCTTTTAGACTTATAGACTTTAAGGTCAGAACGGACCATTATGATCATCTAGTCTGACCCCCTGCACAGTGTAGGCCACAGAATCTCACCCACCCCTCCCAGAATAATCCTCTCGCCTATATCTCAGATATTGAAGCCTTCCATTATGATCATCTAGTCTGACCCCCTGCAGACTCCTCCTCCGTTACTTCCAACTGATGTGTCCCCAGCTTATAACTAAAATTCTTGTTATGAATCCCTAAATGCATAACCTTACACTTCTCACTATTAAATTTCATCCTATTGCTATCACTCCAATTTACAAGATCATCCAGATCTTCCTGTATGATATCCCGATCCTTTTCTGAATTGGCAATAGCTCCCAACTTTGTGTCATCCGCAAATTTTATCAGGACACTTCCACTTTTGGTGCCAAGGTCAGCAATAAAAAGATTAAATAAAATTGGCCCCAAAACTGATCCCTGAGGAACTCCGCTAGTAACCTTCCTCCAACCTGACAGTTCACCTTTCAATATGACCCGCTGTAGTCTCCCCTTTAACCAGTTGCTTATCCACCTCTCAACTTTCATATAAATCCCTATCATTTCCAATTTAACCAATAATTCCCCATGTGGTACTGTATCAAATGCCTTACTAAAGTCGAGGTAGATTAGATCCACTGCATTTCCTTTATCTAAAAAATCTGTTACTTTCTCAAAAAAGGAGATCAGGTTGGTTTGGCACGATCTACCTTTTGTAAAACCATGTTGTAATTTGTCCCAATTGCCATTAGCCTCAATGTCTCTAACTACTTTCTCCTTCAAAATTTTTTCCAGGATCTTACATACTACAGATGTCAAACTAACAGGCCTATATTTACCCGGGTCGCTTTTTTTCCCCTTTTGTAAAAATCGGAACTATATTAGCAATTCTCCAGTCAAATGGTAGAACCCTGAGTTTAGAGATTTATTAAAAATTTTTGCTAATGGACTTGCAAGTTCATGTGCCAGTTCCTTTAATAGTCTTGGATGAAGATTATCTGGGCCCCCCGATTTACTCCCATTAAGCTGTTCAAGTTTGGCTTTTACCTCAGATATGGTAATATCTACCTCCTTATCTTTAGTCCCATTTGTTAAGTTACCATTATCCCTAAGCTCTTCATTAAAGACTGAAGCAAAGTATTTGTTCAAATATTGGGCCATTCCTAGATTATCCTTAACCTCCACTCCATCCTTAGTAATTAGCAGTCCTACTTCTTCTTTTTTCGTTTTTTTTAACTGAAAACTTTTCTGTTAAAGCATTTCTGGAAAATCATGCCAATCTAGACGTAGCCCATATGACAGATTTTGATAACAATGACCTGAGACACTGCAAGATCCCAAAGTTCTTTCTGAATCAAAGAAAGATTAAATTATGTTGTATATAGTAGTTTTAATGTCAAATGTGTTTTTAGTGATCTGGATGTATGCCATGCTTCGAGATACATAGTGTCGTAAGACAACGTACCGTATAGAAAACTTCACAGCTATGTCTAGACTGGCAAGTTTTTCTGCAAAATCATCTGCTTTTGCGGAAAAACTTGCCAGCTGTCTACACTGGCCGCTGGAATTTCCGGAAAAGCACTGACGATCTCATGTAAGATCGTCAGTGCTTTTCCGGAAATACTATTCTGCTCCCGTTCGAGCAAAAGTCTTTTTCCGAAAGACTTTTGTGCAAAAGGGCCAGTGTAGACAGCACAGTACTGTTTTCTGCAAAAAAGCCCCGATTGCGAAAATGGCAATCGGGGCTTTTTTGCGGAAAACCGCGTCTAGA